GAACCGGGAATTGAACTCAGGCCCTTGCATTTGCCAGGCAAGCGCTTACTCTACTGAGCTATCTCCCCCAGCCCCCGGAAGGTAAGATTTTGACATGTCTAATTCAGGAATCAATAACTAAAGATCAGGGGCCAGGGAGATGGCTCAGTGGAATAAGTGCTCCCCTGGCAAGTTCAAGGGCCCAAGTTCAATCCCTGCTTCTGAAAAAAAAAAAAAAACAAAACTAAAGATCATAAAGATGAGTAAGACTATCTACTATTTAAATAACACAATCCACAAGCCTGATTGAATAGATACACAGAGAACTTTGTTTTGTTTTGTTCATAGAGAACTTTGTATGCAACAAACAATACACTTTTTTTTGGACCAGGAATCAACCTCGGGACCTCATGCTTGCCACGTAGCTGTGCCACTGAGCTGTATCCACGGCCCACAGCACAGATTTAAAAGATATGTGGAAGCTGGGTGTGGTGGGCATGCCTGCAATCCCCCCACACTTGGGAGGCTGAAGCAGGAGAATCAGTGTGAGTCTGAGGCCAGCCTGAGCAACGTAGTGAGTTTGGGGCCAGCCTGCACTGTGTATAGTGAGACCCTGACTCTAAAAATATAAATAAATACTGAATACAGTTTTTGAAACGTGATTGTTAGCCACAAGCTCTCAACAGATCTATCACACACACACACACACACACACACACAGAGCTCAACACCAGACCATAGTAAGAAATGACCATGAGAGTACCTTCTCCGTTTTCTTTGGAGCCCCAAGGTCTTAGGAAAGGACCCAGTCTTGGGGCCTGGCCATCAGCCCCGACTCGACCGCTAATGTTTACCCCGTGTTGCAACTCTGGAAAGGCCCCTGCGCTGCACTAATCCTCAGAGCCTTGCTGGGAAGCCGGAAAGGGAAAAGCATTCTTCCTAAGGCTGCTGTGAAGATTAAACTCTGTAGATGTCAGTCTTTCCTTCCAGGGAACATGCCAACTCTCCCTGAAAACTATGGCTACAAAGGATCACTGCGGCTGGACATGCAGGCGCAGACCTATAATCCCAGCACTGGGGAGGCTGAGGCAAGAGGATTGCTGTGAGTTCAAGGCCAGCCTGGGCTACAGTGAGTTCAAGGCCAGCCTTACCTGCATAGTGGACCCTTGTCTCAAAAAGACAAAAAATAAATAAAAAATAAATAAATAAATAATGCTGGTATCAATTCACAAATCCAGAGAGGTAAATCAAAATGCCAGGGAGCCAATTCAGAGCTCAAGTACCAAATCCCAAACTCTCCGCCTCACGCCTCCTCCCCACCCCCCAGATTGTCCCTTGAGGCCCCTTGGTGCTCCTGGAAAGGCGCTGCTGAGAGCCAGCGGGTCCTGACCTCTACAGCTCACACAGGCCGTGCAGTAGCCGCTCTCGTCTATGTAGTGCTCCGGCAGACACTGCTTCTTCCTGCAGTCGGATGGCCCCTGAGGACATGGCTTTGCTGACACTGACCCTGGAAAAGAAGCAGAGACGCTCCAGTCCGGGCCATTGTGGCGAAGTGTTTGCCCCTCCTCCAACCCCCCTGAGCGCTCCAAGCTCCATCCAGGATCGCACCAGACCCCCACTCTCCCACCCCCACAACGTGTCAGTCCAACTCCTAGGTTATATTATAAATGTGACAAGCAGGAGGCCGCACAAGTATGGAGATGAGTAGGGCCTGGGACTCCCGGGATACCCACAGATAGCCCTGGGTAACTACCACGTCCTCATTCACACTAATACAACCTAACTCCTAGTGAAATCAAAAGAATTAACGCCATTGTAATGATAAACGTGTGCCTCAGCAGTCCCTGACACCCAGCAAGCACTGCCTGAGCCCTGGTGGTCAGCATTCTGGGCAGGGGTCCTGGCGCTCCCCAGAAGAGAAACATCTTGGGGTACAATTTAGGCTGACGGGGATGACAGGAATGCAAATCACCCAGAAACCCCTGCCTCTCACTATATGGGAATGAGAGGTGCAGAAGTTGATACCCGCAGCATGGCCACATGACCCAAATAAGCCAATCAGAGTACACCATCTTTCACAGCACTATGATTGGCTCAGCATGGCCACATGACCCAAAAAGCCAATCAGAGTACTCTATCTTCCACACCACTATGATTGGCTCAGCATGGACATATGACCCATATATGCCAGCCAACAGACCCCCCCCCCCATGTCTGTTTTCTCAAGCATGATGGGAAGAGAGACTGGATTCCTGCAGAACTCCTGCTTTGAAAGACTTCAGGTGGTAGCCACTACGTCACCAGTGTGGATGAGTGTGAGCAGGACCTACCCAAGAAGGAGGCCAGGAGAGAACAGAGTGGGACAGAAATGGGTTCTTGAGAACATCAAACCCCTGAATTTAAGGTGCCCCTAAATTGAGCCCCTTCTCTTTCTTATGTCTTGTTTGGGCTCCCTTGAGGTTGCTTGGTGCTCCTAGAAAGGTACTGTTGAGGGCCAACGGGTCCTGATCTCTGGTACAGCTCACACAGGCCGTGCAGTAGCCTCTCTCGTGTAGGTAGTGTTAAGCTTCTTGGTTATAACTACCAAATTAATCTAGAATTGCCCAATATTTTTGGAATCCTGATTATTCAAGAGAAACTCTAGACACCAGAGTCATAAATGCACCAACTAGAAATACAGATTTAAAAAGGGAGCAAACAATATTGGCATATGGTTATCAACACAGTAAACGAAATAAGAAATAGCAATATATGGGGCTGTGAGATAGCTCAGTAGAATAAGCGCTTGCCTGGCAAGTGCAAGGGCCTGAGTTCAATCCCCAGTTCTGCAAAAAAAAAAAAAAAAGTAATATATTTGATTCTTTCTAACCTCATTGAGTGACAGGGTATTACTCATGGTTTCAAGGTACAGTTGAGCCTGGACAATAAACAATATTCTACTACAACTACAGGGGCTGGTGAGATGGCTCAGTGGTCTAAAGCACCTACTTAGAACAAGCTTAGCAAAGCACAGGGACCGCGGTTCAATCCCCCAGCACCACATGCCAGCCAGCCCGCCCCCTGGTGGGCTGAGCTGGCCACACACACACAAATAAAATAAAAAAATCTACTACAACTACAATATGAGAATGCCTATGATTTCTACTGATGACAAAATAATTACTGCTGTATTTCATTGCTTGAATTCATAAGAGAATTTTTGTTTTGTTTTGTTTTTGAGGCAGGGTCTCACTATGCAGTTCAAATTGGTGTTGAACTTACTAGGTAGCCCAGGCTGGCCTCAAGCTTAAGGTGATCCTCCTGCCTCAGCCTGTTTGGTGTGCTACCGTACCTGTGCATTAAGGAATTTTAGCTAGAGGCTAATTAAGATAAAAGAAGCCATTCAGGTTCTTGGGCTTCTGAAATCTACCCAGGGCAGCCAGGGGCACCCAAGGTAAGACCCCCTGTTGTACAAGAAGACACAAAAGGACCTCTCTCAAAACCACAAGCCTGATGGCTGTCACTCTCCGGCTCAGAAAACTTGCGTAGATCACCACAAATTGTGTGCCCCCCACACCCCAGTACTGGAGATGGAGCCCAGGGAACACTAAGCTATGGCATTTTGCATTTTTAAAAATTGTATTGATTGATTGATATTGGAAATCGAACCTAGGACTTTTACACTGGTAGCTACTGCCCCAGCGCTCCTCTTTTATTTGAAGGCATTTTCTTTTTATTTCAAGAGTGATTTGTCCAGGCTGGCCTCAGACTTGAAATCTTTTTGCCTTTGCCTCCCAAGGGACTGTGATTGTAGGTATGCAACACCATTCCTAGGACCCCAGAAGTCTCCCGGAGAGATAAACATGACCCGATCACTCCTTGCCTAAAACTTTCAAAGGCTTTCTGTGTCTCTTAGGATAGAAACTTAGGTCTTCAACACACATACACACAAAGATGCCCTCCATCTCCAACTCTACCCCAAGGGGAGCCAGTTAGGTTAGATTGAATACTATCTCTTCATGGAACTTTCCCAATCGTCTGACCCCACCCAGATGCCCTCTGAGTCCCTTCAAAATCTGTCAGAGCCAAGCATGGTGGCAACACCTGTAACGCCAGCACTTGGGAAGCTGAGGCAGGAGGATCACCATGAGTTCAAGGCCAAAAGTGCAAAGTGAGTTGAGACCAGCCTGAACCACACAGGGAGACCCTGTCTCAAAAAGTAAAAACACTTAGCACCTCAGCACCAGAAGTGGCTCCAGGGTGGGCATCGTGTGCTCTGGGCTGCAGGAGCCACCCCACTGGACTCAGTGGTGAACACAGAAATGGGATTTTTTCACAGAGTTCACAATAGCTGACCATCACCTATGTCCCAGCGCCTGATTTAGGGCTCAAAGAAGGCAGAGTCCCTGCTCTTCTGGATCTTCTATGCATTGGAGAGAGTCCAGTTGACAGCAAAGGAGGCCAGCAAGCTGGGTCGGTGTTGCCAAAAACTTGTGCAAAGAACAGCGAGGCTGTGAGGGCTCGAGCAGAAGGAGCGGAACCGTGGGCTTCGCCCATTTCTTCTTCATGCTTCTCCCAGTCTCCAGACAGATCTTCCCCACTCATTGTCCTCTCCTGATCAGAAACTATGCAGCTGTGGTTCCAGAGTGGTGGAGGAGGTGACCTTAGGATTTGTTCCCAAGGATCTCCCCACCCCCGTTGCTCGGCCCACATCCAACACCAGACCCAGATCAGCCCTTTCCCGCCCCTCCAGATGCTGTCTGTGCTTGTCCTCGCATTTCCATCACCGCATTTCCATCACCATCTCTCACCTCTGGCTCAGCGGCGGGGTCACAGTCAGTCCAGCCCAGCTGCCTTGGCTCCAGGACACCCACAAAAAGAGTTGCTCCTCCCAGCATCTGGGCCACCACCTGCGCTACTGCCTGTTGTCTCTTATGCTTTGGACTAAGGGACCTAACTGCTCCCTGCCACCACCCACATTTCCTGCAGCCCTGGAGTGGCCTGTCCTTGCTGACCTCCAGGTTTTTGAATATTCTGCACCCCTTATCCTGAACGTGGCCCCCTGGTTGGCCCAGGAAGCTCCTGCTCATCCTTGGGGCTTCTTTTGATGCCACCGCCCTGGGGAAGTGAAGCCTCTCCTAATTACTCCCATGGTCAGGTCCCCCCACCCCAGCATATCCCTACTAGGGTACCAAGTGGCCTCATCCCAGATCTGACAGCTGCTGCAGCAGCCATCATCCTAAAATATCTTCTCCATCCATAAGGTGCCCTTCTTGGAAACTGCCCCCCTCTATGCCTCTCACTGCCAAACAGTGATCCAGGTCTGTCCTGGCCTCAGGTAGTGGGGCAGAGGCCAACATCTGGATCCATCTAAACCATCAGATGCTCTGGACATGGACATGGGCTGAACCCCACCTGTTAAGTATCCCACTTGGTGGGACTGGGGGGCTGTGGACAAGGCAGCTTAGCCAGGTTCAGGGAGGGCAGGCCAACCAGTGCGCAGACAGAAAAGTATCACAGCCACGAGAGACAAGTTGTGTGTCCCCAAGGTTCACATGACAGAAACATAACCTGAGTGAATGGTGTGGAGAAGACTTTGGGAGGTGATTAGGTGCTAAATAAACTCCTTATCACTGTCTCAGAGTCTGCGTATCGGCATGCGGGCTGCTGTGACAAGCGCTGGGCTTTGACTCTGTCTGTCTGAAGGGGTGAATGTTGGAAGCTGGTCTCCAACCCCATACCGTCTTTGGAGGTGGGGTCTGGGGTGTGTGGCTCAGACGAGATAAAGTCAGGAGGGGCAACTAGGACAACATTAGTGACTTTCTAGGAAGCGGAAGAGACTTGAGACAGAACTCCGGATCCATCCTGCCAGCTGGGGCCTTTGCCAGATGCCAGCCCCAGATTCCTGCACCTCAGCCTCCAGAACCAGTGCCAAATAAACCGCTATTCTTATAAATCACCCAGTCTATGGTATTGAGCTCTAACAAGAGAAAATGCACTAAGACAATAAGACCCCACAGAATGGGTGGCTTATAGCACAGCAATTTGTGGTTTTGTGGTTTTGAAATCCAGGAATCCAAGATGAAGATAGGGCTGGCTTCCTCTGAGAAAAAAGAAACTTCCTCAGCCTTCCTCTGAGCTTCCTGGCTTGTTACCAGCCCTCTGCTCTCTGTGTCCTTAGTCTTGTCTCTGTGTCTGTCCAGATATCCTGTTCTTATAAAGATATCACACAGTGCACTAAGGTCCACCTAGTGGCCTCATTTTACCCTAATTGCCTTTTGAAAGATTCTGTTTCCAAATTAGTCATATTCAGAGCTGTTGGGGCTTCATCACATGAATTGGTGCAGGGGACACACAATTCAGCCCATAACAATCTATTTCTGGGGAATTGAAACTATGACATCCCATTTCACATGAGCAAACGAAAGAGGCTGCCAGCTGGTATAATACTGACACTGAAGTAGTGAGCGCAAGGTGATATCCACCCTCCTGTGTAGGATCTGGTTGAGGGGAAATGCTCAGAACATG